CACCTAATTTCTATTTTTTGTACTTAAAACTATTCTCAGTAATGAACATGTGTTTTCTAATTATCAGAATGAAAAAGAAATGGCGCCATTCCAGGATTGGAGAACCTGGTAGGTGAAATTTGGCAAGTCAGTAGGAACTTAGAAATTAGGTTATCACAAGCAGGTCAAGCAAGGGTCTGTACAAGGAAGTCCATTCAGTGAGGAATTTCATTCAGGTACCATGGGTGGGGTGTTGGCTTAAGGACACCTGGTCTGTCCAGAGCTGTGCTTTCCATATAGTAGCCATTCCTTTATTGATATTTAATTTAAATTAAAATTAATCAAAAAATTTAAAATTTAGCTCCTTGGTTGCATTAGCTACACTTCAAGTGCTTGATAGCCATGTGTAGCTAGTCACTACTGTATTGGACAGCACAGATATAGACCCATCCTTGCAGAAAGCATAATCTAGAAACTTGAAGAGTAGATGTCAAGGAGCAGGAATCAAGATAGGCAACAACAAAACAAAGACTTTTGTAATGAGGCTGAGCATCATGAGTCTAGACAGAGTTTAGGTCCTGAGCAAAGGAGTTTAGGTATTACTGAAGCACTGCAAGGCATTATTTAAGTATGAATAGCAATGCAAATTGTGTCTGTGTTTAATTGTGTACTAATATCCCACTATGTGATAAAATGGTTTCAGGGGCTGAGGGTGCAATTGAAAATACCTCATGGGGCAAGAGTGAGTTAACCTAGTCCATGAAGGACTACTACTGGATTGTATGTGTCTGTGGTTGGAATATACAGAGTTCTCTCTTTCTCATTTCTCTGCCCTTCCATACTGTTTAAGATGTAAAAACATGCATCTTGATAATGGTGGTCACACTCCTACAGTGCTTAGGTGTGTTTCAGCATCTCTTTACATGTTAAGAAAATAGGGTAAAAGGTAAACAACCAGTTTAGTCAAACTCAGCCAGAAAAGAATAAAAATCTTTAATCTTGAATTCCATTGTGTTGAATCATTTTGGATCCCTTAAGCAACTATGACTCAGACTGTAGCTATAATGTGCACTGAAAACAATTGAAACACATGTATGGATACAGTCCCCAGTACATAGAATGGTGTTCATGTATTGTCAGCACAGAGCCATTTTGGTTAGACGATTGTACTAGCTTCTTACTTACACTTCTGGTGAGATGGTAAGCTAATGTTGTAGCCATTAATTTGAATTTAGAAGACATTTTATATATAGGTTTCTTTTACAGAGTCAAAAGTTGCATTTCAAGCTCTTTGGTGGTCTAAAAACAGCTTAATTCTGTAGTAGCATGGTAATAAGTACTAATCCTGCTTATTCAGTGATTGTAGTATGTCATCTTTGTGAAAGAATGCCCAATTGCTTTCTCTGGTTTTTATGTTAATTTAAAAATATTAAACATAAAACCTTATAACATTTTCATGCTGGGATAAACTGTTCAATTTAACTTGTGCTCAAGCAGCAGCTGTCAGGAATTATCTTCTTCTTAGTGGTTTTTGCTGCCACTTTGTGCCCTTTCTTGCCAGACACAGTATAGGATGATAAAGCTCACCTTGTTAGGATTTATTACTTAAATAATACCTGAGGCAAAATGAACACTGGGATCCTAGGGCTTAGTTGCTGATCAAGTGATATCATCGTGTGTTACTATAAATGTTTTTTTTTTTAATTGATGGAAGGAAGCAAAACGAAAGTTGCTTATGAATCTTGCTTGCATTCCTTTTGTGAACATATTCGTCACTTCTTTTTGGGTGTCGTTGAGCTAAGCCTTAGCGGAATGCATATGGTCTAATTTAACTACCATATTTTACAAGTGGAAAAGCAAAGAGAAATTAATAATGATGGAGATAATTTCCACAATTTAGAAGGAGTGAGGGCTATTTCAAGGCTAGTCATAAAAATAAAATGAATTTCCTATTACTGATTGAACAAACTGAAGGAAGTGTTGGTGTGAGCAGACCCAAATGGTTAATATTATGAAAATTGTTGCCATTTAACTTCTGAATGTCTTGCACTCTTTCATTTAAGAGGTTTATTTAGAGGGCATAACTTTAGATTTGGATTCCCTAATTATGGATCAGCTGATAGGCAGGGCAAGGAGAGGAGGTGTGTGGTCGAAGTAGAGCGAAGGGCTCACCTTCGTTAAACATTGGCTGCAGGTGGTCTACCCTGCGCATAATTCTCATGTAGGAAATTAACCTTTGGATTATGACTAGAAATGGATATATAATTGGTTTATTGTTCATGAAACATAGCATACTTTTTCCCTTCTACTTACTGCCTATTATATGCATATTCCCTCAGATTTGTAGTTTTATAAATGTATAACTTAACAAAACTTTGCAAGACTAGATCAATGAGTTATAATACACTGTTTATTTAGATTACTCTATTGTTAACATTTTGCACATTTTAAGATTTCTATCCATGTAAATATATATGTGTGAATATTTATTGTTATTATTAGCCTTTTGACTGAACCATTTAAGAATTAGTTGCAGACATCATGACTCTTTGCCCATAAATAATTCAACATGTGTCTCATAACAATGAGGATGTTCTCCTAAATAATTGCAATAGTTATTACACACAAGAAATTTAAGATTGATAAAAATTTACAATCTTGTATTTGGCCTGTATTCAGAGTTGGTCCTTATAGTGTCCTTTATAGCTTTTTTTTCTCCATCCAGTATACAGTCAAGGATCACACATTGCATATTGTTTTGGGGTTGCTTTACTTTCCTTTAGTCAGATTTTTTTTCTTTTATGACATTGTCATTTTTGAAAATCGAACCCAGTTATATTTCTGAAATTTGTCTCATTGTTTCCTCATGACTGAACTCAAATCGGGCATTTTTGGCAGAGATACTACATTAGTGATTTATATCTTTCTCAGTATATCATGTTGGGAAATACATGATATCACTTTGTCCCCTTATTCGTTATATTAAGTTTGATCACTTGGGTAAGTTGCTGTCTACCATATTTTTTACTATAAAGGTACCATTTTTCTTTGTAATTAATAAGTAACATGGGAACTGCATTTAATGAATGTTTCTGCCTCTTATTTGAAAAACATTGAGTTTGTTCAGGTCTTAATGATTTAGAATTGAATCATAGATTACAATAGTGTGTTTGTTGGGGGTGGGGAGTGGAAATTAACAGAAAAACGGGGAATTAATGGAAAAAGGGGGAACAATCACTCAAAGACTAGACCCACAAGTTGCCATCCATTTTCTTTTAAGGAAAATATTGATTGATTGAGATTCATCTTTGTTGTTCTCACTATATAACTCAGATTTGTAGATAAGCAAATATCTTCCTATTTCAAAATTTTCAATCTAAGTTTAATAAAGACTTTTACTTGGTGGTAATGGGAATATTTTTGGACATAATAGGTCATTTTCTGACCATAATTTTTCTGTTTGCTTTATTTGGGTACAAAAAGAATTTTTAAAAATCAGTTCATCTCCTTACTAAAAGAAATTTTACTTTAAAGCAGTAAATTGTGACATTAATGTAGCAGTGTGGGTTTAAAGAGAGATCACTGCTTTTTTGGTCTTCTTTTGCTTTTTCAGCTCATGAAGAAGACACTTGAATTCCTATTTATGATATATGCACTTATTATGTAATGATTCTTCTTATGTGAAAGGCGAGTACTGAAGATCATATAAACACCTGAAGTTAGCCATTTGGCTTGTCAGCAAGGAAGGATTTATAGTAGCTGTAATCATGGTAATAACAAGTCTGATATTCTGTATATGTTAAGTATAGAAAGAAGCATTTGTGATATAAGTGGTCCACAACCAATTCATATCCGTGGTGTAATGAAAAGCACTTCAGGCTGAGAAGACCAGCAGTCCCTGCTTTGCTACTTTCTACCAGTGTGATTCTAGAAAACACTCTTAACCTTTTTGAACCTCATTTTTTAGAATGGGAATTAAATCTGTGAGGGTCAAATGATACTACATTATGTTATAAATGTGGATTCCATCAAAATTGTGCCATCTAAGTGTCCTCGGCTGCTCAGGGACTGTAATTTGTCCCTCTTTTGTGTCCATGTGTGGTAGGCACCTCATTAGTGAAACATTTCCAGGTTGTCCCAGGCAGTCATTACTCGTTTCTGTTTGTCCCCCTCATACTTTGTTTATGTCGCTATTACTGGCAGCATTCATCCTGGTGGGCTCTCTTGTACAACTTTTCTGTTCTTCCTGGTTAGATTCTGCCTGGTAGGCATTTAGTAAATGTCTGTGAAATGAGTGAGTAACTAGATACTGTTTCACTTAAAAATGTGGGATAGATAAGATTTCAGTTTCCTTTTTTTCCCCAAAGACAAGGATACAACCTTTCTTCATTTTTTTAATGTTTATATTTTATATTTAGGGTTTTACAGATTGTATATCTGGTGGTGCCAGTAGCAGTCCAATAATGGAGAAAAAATATATTAAAACAACACAAATATTGCAGAACAGTTAACAAAGGCAGGGGCGGAGGGAGTGAGGGAACATGTGAAAAGTAAAGGACCACACTAGATAAACCTATTGCATAAATCAAAAGGGTTTATGTCATAACATGAACATGTGCCATTCCTGCTCATATATTGAATTTCAGTAGTTGGTTGCATAAAGAAGTAAAGTGTAATGAAACTGGCAAGCAAAGTATTCCCCAGTCAGCCTTATCTTTGTTCCTTTTGTCCTTCAGATAGAGCTTTTCTTGCCTTTTTCAATAAAATCTATCCAGCTTCTTTTTTTTTTTTTATTTTGCATCTCTCAGTAACTGAGCTGAGAAGACCAATGAGACTTGGGGCTTTTATAGTTCTTAGCAGCTGCTTTTTAAGAGATCAAAACTTAGAATGCTGCTACACGGTATTAAGGCTTAACTATTAATGCATCCCTATAAGAGATATGTTTTTCTAGGGGTGAGGTGAGAAGAGAAGGGTAAAGGATGGCTACTTAATGCATGCTCTGATTTCCTTGTTTCCTCTAGGATCCTCTTTGCAAGTTCAGTGCTTAACCTGACCGAACTGGCTGCCCTTCGGCCTGACCTTGGGAAATTGAAAAAGATCCTGTACTTCCATGAGAACCAATTGGTATATCCTGTCAAGAAATACCAGGAAAGGGATTTCCAATATGGATACAACCAAATTCTCTCATGGTGGGTGTAGATTGCATCATTATATTTAGTCCTTTGCCAACTTTTTCTTTATAGATAATTAGCTTTTAAATCTGAGACATCCTGTACCCTTATTTTAAAAATACCATAAAGTAGGTGCAAATATTGAAACATACTTTCCATGATAGTAATTACTTGTATACCTCTGCAATATATATGTAAGAGAACAGCTAATCTGTTTATCAAATGCACATATGTTACAATCTAATTATACATTGAACTAATTATTTCTACAACATTCAAAATAGAATCAAAGGATTAACAGCGACCTTCTTTACCACTTGTTTAATCTATTGTTTAAAGCATACTGTTAGAAAAGAGCAGTTAGTACACTCTCATTTACTCACCATCTTCAGTATATCCAGCTAAGTCAAAATAGACATTTAGCAGAGGAATAAACAAAAATTAAAACATAATGGAGCAAGTGGTTTTTGTTCTTTTTTATTGTCTGTAAAAGAAAACTATCAAAAATGAATTTTTAAGTGGTTGTTTTTTTTCCCCACTCATGGAGTCTTCTGAAATTGCACAGCCTTAAATACCATGACATTTCAAAGGTGATAGTCCTTCTGTATTGTTATTTCAACACAGTATATCTCCTAAAGCTTAGTTAATGAAAGAAGTTTTAACAATTCTGAAATTGGCTTTGCTACTGGATCCTATTCACATATAACTGCAACAATCAAATAGAATCAGTTTGGCACTTATTGAGTACATTTTACTCACCTTTTTTAATAGTTACTAGCAGTTGGGATTGATGATGTGTTTAAACAGGCTCCCAGTTCTTGTGCGTATATTCCATAGTTTAGTTGACATCGAAAAACAGCTATGTGGTAGTATTTCTGTTTCAAGCATTTTGTAAATGTTTTCCTGCAATCATTTTTACAAGCTGCTTCAATTGTGAAGTAGCGCTATCAAAATAGAGTAGAACTGTTTCACGTCAAATGTCTCATAAAAAAGCAACCGTTTTAAAATTTCATAATAAAATTAAAATACTTTATTTTATAATGAAACAGAGAAGGAAAATATGTTTTAAAAACAAAAAATAAAATCATTTTGTGTTTTATCAATATGGAAAACATTTGTAATATTCTTTTGATTTCTTGAATTAGCATCATTCATTTTTTCAGATAGTGTGTGTTTATTACCCCTGAGAAATAACTAGGGAAAAAAAATTAAGTCTATTTTTCCCTTTATGGGTGACTTTAAAGTTAATGGAAGTTACACCCACTCATTTCAGAGAGGAAATGCATGAAAAAGGATATTTCTGTGAATTATCTTGGCTCTTTAATTTAGTGTAGACTGGGTTTTTTAAGAATGTAAGGAGTTGCCTTGAATGCCCAATGAGGGCAGATATCTAAAAATTATAGCTCACTGTCCCTCATCTCTCTTTTTCATAATATATTGTTTTTGTTCAAAAGGAATGAGACTGTAAAACCTTATATGTGATTTTTCAGCATTGCTGTTCTCAAGAGGGTAAACTGATAGACAAGCTTTGAGAGAAAGTAGACTCGGTCATCAGTTGGCCTCTTAATGAGAAAAAAATGGTTTGCAGTTGTCCAGAGGAAAAATAAGAGTGTCAGAAAGCGGTCCTGTTCAGATTCTTTGAAAAGTATGATTCCTGCTTCCTCAAATGTTTCTTTAGATTTCTTGCTGACCTCTGCTTTTGTTGGCACTGTCAGATTTCTTTCTTGACCGTGTGGCAGTTAAGGACTTTAGAGATGACTGATATAAGCACTCACCTTAAATAGAGGTTTCACTAACTCTCTGACTTATGAACACATGTCATAACTGTATATTATGACCTGTGGGTCGCTACTCCAATATGTGACATATGGTGAAACAGACTAGCTATAAAACATCCTTCAACTTTTGGTATATTATTATGTTGGCGTCCTTATTGCTTGGTGTGTGTCAGCACTTTGGTGACATTCTTTTGGTATTATCCATGTTGTGATCACCCCTACCCCCAAATTTGCACTAGGTTGCAACTAAAACAAATAATTGTATGGAAAAGCAATTTTGCCAGGGAGGCATAGGGGTGGCAGGTCAACATTACTTTTGTTGGTTTTTGTCCTGCTATGTGTTAACAAGAGGAACTTTGGCTACCTCAGTAAATGTGAATGTAACTGAACTGAGGATTTGTAACGGTGCTCTTGCTCTGTAACCTCTACTTATTCATTTGTGTTTTGCAGTCTTATGGACTTCATGTATCTTCTTTTTAGTTTTTTTGATCTATCATTTTTAGGGTGACATAAAAGTAACTGCTGATTTGACTTTGTATACCTTCCTATCAAGGCATTTGTATGCATTTTATTGAGATCCAGTGACACTGAGTCACTGAATCATTGCTTAAAGCAAAGAGAACCATTTTTTTTAGTATGCAAACAATGATTTAGTAATTCGTTTTTTTGACTAATAAAGGGAACATACTACATACTCAGGTTTTATCCAGCTTGCCCATGGTTATCATTTGTGTTCATTGGTTTCCAAGAAAATTTTATGGGCAATTCTGAAAACTGATGTATTCATGACATATAAACTTTGTCTTCACATTTCCTTATAACTAAATATTTTAAGTCATTTTTATTTTTAAAAATATTAAGGAGAGAAAACACAGTCTTTTCATCAATATTAATAACCAACATTATACTTATTTTGTTTAATTTTGAAGGTCCATGGCATTGTGTTTATGTTATAATAATGTTGCTTTATGTAGTCAGTAAGACTGAGTGATACGGATCTCTGGTCCATTCCACCAATATCTTCTACTTCTCTGAATACAGTAGTGAAAAGGTTATTTGTAGATATCCCATGTAACACTTCTGTATAGTCCTAGAACTCTAGAGGACCTAACAGTTTCTTGAAACAAGGGCTAAAACAAGAAATAGCTTTAATCGTGTATTTTGAAGATATGTTTAGGTATGAAGTAGCTTTACCAGAATTAGTCTCAAGTAGTGAAAAGCATGGCAAACGTTCTGTTCGCAGTAGTGTGTCGTAAAACGATGCACATCACTGACATGGAAACCCAGCATGGCTTATTGTTGTTGATAGGATAAAAAGTTCTGGCATTGTGGAAAAATGTACTTTGCATTTGAAGTCTCATAGGATCCCATTAAATCATTTAATTCCTCTCCCGGCTTTCCTCCCTGCTACCAACAGTGTAATTTCCCATGACATAATACTAATAAAGCTAGCGTTTCTATTAGAAGCATTTTGATAAATACTGATTGAAAGTACAGAGTGCTTTGCAAAACCAAGGTGCAGTGCAAACTGATTAATAGAGAGATCTTAGGCTTATAAAAAGTAAGTGAATGAATGTAGGCTCATCATTTGCATTTATCCTTTCCCTGTACAGCCTGGTGGCTGATGTGGTGGTATTCAACTCAGTTTTTAATATGGAATCATTTCTCATTTCTATTGGAAAATTTATGAAGCTGATTCCTGATCACAGACCCAAGGATCTAGAGAGCATCATCAGACCCAAGTGCCAAGTTATTTACTTTCCCATCAGATTTCCTGATGTGAGCAGGTATGTTTGACTCTGCTTTCAATATTGTGTCATAAATTATTCCAAAAATGTATAGAAAATGGTGTTCTTCTTGCCAATTTTAGTTTTTCTGCACAAGCACAGTTAATGAGAGAATCTAGTTCTTTTTTCACCATGCTGTGATTTACAAAGATTTTAAGTAATCATACATCCAACCTATCACTGATTCGTGAGCTCTAATATTGAGTTCTTCCTGTCTTTTCTGTTGTTTCTTGGTTTGCCAAAAGCAGGCTGCTTTGGATTTTAACACTTACTGTTTTGTTTTTTTATTTGTTGTTTTGTTATAGAAGTCACTGACAAGCATATTTCTGTCTTTGCAATTCATTTATGTCCACTGGTATATATGTATCATAGTAACTGTTCTAAGTAAATCAGTGCTAAATTTTGCTCTTGGATTGCTTTCATTTCCCATGCTACTTTCTTCTTTTTTTCTTCCATTTTTTTATTTTTTATATTACATTAATAAAGAATTAGGTCTTATATGTTCAGTTACAAATGCACTTAATTGCCATTTCTCTTTCTGAGTAACTAAGGACATTTTTTATTACCCTTGTTTCTGGGCCTACCCTGAATTAGCAATGGATGATGTGGCTCAAAGGGAACATTCTAGAATTCCTTTTTACTTTTGATTAAACTGAGCAAAATTGTTTTTACTACCACCAGGAATATTTCTCCCTTGTGACTAGGAAGTTTATCTCAGTGGGATGCACACTAGCTGGGGATGCTGCTGTTTTGTAACTGACAGTGTCCTTAAAAAGAATTCAGGGACAGCTGTTTCTTCCCCATCCTTGAAATGAAGGCAGGAAACAATTTAATGTCCATACATGCCGTGCAGGAGGTCAGCATGTGCTGTATGTTCTGGACTTAGTGAGCTCACCCAGATTTTGCCTTGAGGACAGTAGTCCTCATCCACACTCCCAATGCTGATTTATGTGAGTGTTTTAGTGGTTAATATTTCATTGAAGAAAAATCTGCCTAATGGAAAATCAAGTTAGTAAGTCATAAAATTTAAGTTAGACCACCTTGACCAATCTTTACTGTATGACGTTCAGAAAACAGAGGCCCCTAGGAGCAGAGACAGGTTTGCACGCACATTGCTGATTGTTGTCACAGACTGAATTAAAGTTTAGGCCCTATGACTTTTGATTCAGTTTTCTGTTTACTGTTCAAGCTTCTGTCACTATAGGTCATTTGTCAAATACATGTATTGGAGTATTTGCAGTTTTGAAAACCATCAAGCTAAGTGAAATAATCAATTTTCAGATGTACATGTATATATAGGGATATGTATATGTATGTATAATATGTATTTGTTTATATACAGTTTTTTATGTGATGAGAGAATGTCAGCTTTTGAAAAATGTAATTGTTATACTTAAATCTGTGATGAGCAAGAACAGAGCTTATAGAGAGTATTTTAAAAATATGAATTTTTTTATGTTTTCAAGGTTTTCATATGCTGTATAGTCACCATGTACAACTTTAAGTAAATAGGTGGCTATAGCATGTCTTAATTATAGAATTCCAAATATATACTGTTTTCTAATTTATTTGCATCTGATACATTCCTACAACATTGTAAGTTTAATATACCTGTAGCAATTTATTAATTTGGTCTGTATTACCATAAATAAATCTAGCTAAATGGAAGAAGGTTAAGAAATATTGTCACCAAGATAACATTCATAAGCAAGGTCTTAGCCCAGAGTGTTATTTGAATTATTTTCAAATGGTAATTTGCTTTTTCCAACCCAAACTCATATAGTGTAAGTGATTATTTGCATGAATGACAATGGTTCTAAAGCCTGCAGTCTTAAAAGAGTATTATTTTGTTGAGATGTTGAAAAATATTTATTAATTCCAAAGGCAAAATCACCAAAGTGATTAAAAACAAAAACAAACCCCAACTTTTGAATGTTTATATCTTTCTACCTATAAAATATTGTTTGGTATTGGCAAATGAATTTAAGTAAAAACAAAATAGAAGATACAATTACATTATTAATACAATGTGTTACAATAATATATAATATAATGGATATTAATCAGGGAAGGGAGAAAGCCTTATTTCAGCAAAAATATGAGCTTCATAGAGTTGATAACTATTAAAACTCAGTATGTCTGTTGCATAGGAATCCAGTGATAACTGGGCTCATGGCACCTGCTGTTACCTCTTGCTCTCCTTGCCTCCACTGCCTCATTCTCAAAGACTAGAAAAATAATGGCAAGAAAGAATATTCACTTTGAAAGATTTCATTGTATGTATTAAACATGTGGGGATGGGAAAACTCTTAAACACTGTTTGAGTCTTGACTACCGTTTACTAACTCTGGGAGCTGTGTAAGTGTAATAACCCTGAGCTTAGGTTCTTTAATGACTATGGTTATATTTACCTTATCACCTCATCGGCATGATGTAGTGACCAAATGAAATCATGCAAATGCCTAGTATAGTATAGGGACACATAATAGACCCCTAACAAAGATTAATTCATCTTATTAACTCCCCCACCGCCATTATTTATAACCCACCACATTTATTACCACCTGAATATAAAGGACTGTCTTCCTCTCTGCTCTCTCTTAATCAACATAATGAAAATAAAGGAGGACTCTGCCAAAGGAGCAGCCTGATATAAATAAAGAGGATCACCTATTTACTCTCTTTCAACCTGATTCAGTCTTTTGGCCTCACCAGAACCTATACCATCCATTGACTGAGCCAACCACTTACTTTCGTTCTTCTCTTGTCCTAATTTTCCTCCACCTTTTTTCACCTTAACACCCATATTCCATCATCAGACTTCTTTTCTTGCATATACTCTCAAATCTTCTGCACCTTATACTTCATATTTATTAGAAGAAAAACATCCAGCTATACATATTAGCCTACTCTAAATTCATGACTCCTTAATTCAGATGGACACTTCTAGATGCCTGGCAAACATACATTTTCCCCATTTCTAGATAACCAGTCACACATTACCCTTTCTTTGTAAACTTCTAATACCGAATCTTCTTTCTTCATTCTCAGATCATGACTGAGAAAATAGAAGCAATCAGAAGAGAATTTCTGTATGCTACAGCCCCCTGGCTGCCCAGTTGGATACTTCTGGGTGCGTGTTCTTCATCTGTACACCTGTTACTATGGATGAATTAACCTTGCTTCTGTCTAAGGCCCTGGCCTCTACTTCTTTGCCAGAGCCCACCGTTCTTACATATGTAAGGACTATTATTCTAGCAGTTTTTCCTTCTCTATTGTGCATCATCAGTTTTCCTCTCTTCCGGATCATTCCTATTAGCATACCATAAATGCTCTTTGTTTTACATCTTTAAAAAAAATTATCTCTTGGTTCCATGTCTCCCCTCTGCTACTGCCTGATTTCTTTTTTTTTCTCTTAGTAGCAAAGCCTCTTGAAAGAATTGTTTAGACTTGTTTCCAATTTCATTCCTATTCTTCTCTCTTAAAGCTACTTCACTGAAGCTGTTTTTGTCATGGTCACCAATAACTTCCATGTCTCTAAATCCTGTGGTCAGTTCTCAGTCCCCATCTTACTTAACATATCAGCTGTATCTGACACATGCTGACACATTTGTCAGTTGGCTTCTAGGACGCACAGGTTGCTGCTTCACAGGCTTGTTGCTGGTATCTCATCATTACCCTGACCTTTTTAACTTTGAAGTGGCACTTGGCTCACTGAACACTTAAAGGTTCGAGGGAGGAAGATTGAAGTAAGAAGAAAAGAAGACAAAGTCAGGAGGTCAACAATGAGAGAACCATCCTGTGGAACCAAAGGATGAGAGTTCTAAGGAGATGGTCAGTAGTAAATTCAGAGGAGTGAGGTCTAAAACATCCTTGAATTTGATGATGAAAGTGTCCATGTTGCCCCACCGTGCATTCTTAACTCACAGAATATTTTCTTTGTTCTTCCTGGAAGCCTGAGAAACTTTGGATTCAGCTCTGGATGAGATTTCTTTCTCTTTCTATCTCTCTCTCAACACACATACACACACACACACTCTGCTTCTCATTTGACGGATGAAGGCATCATGACCCAGAGAAGTTAAGTGTCTTCTGGTAATCACAGAACAGGAACTGGAACTCCTATATCAAAATCTCCATCCATTGCTTAGCCCACCATTTACTGTACATGCAGTTTCAGAGGTCTTGATTATCTGATTTTTCAGATGACAGCAGATTAGCAACATCAAATTGGGGGTGCGATAAAGGCAGGCTCACTGACAGCAGTAAAAAGTGACAGCTGACTGACAGCTTGACAGCTAGGGAGGAGAGAGATAAACTATTAAAAAAACATATGAGAAGTGAGAAAGCATAGCAGCCTGGAGCCATTCCATGGCAGGGCAGGCAAAATTGTAGATCCCCCACAGACACTTCTCCATGATGGTACAGCTCGTACATCAAAAGGATGATTGTGATTTATTAGGAGAGATTAAATGGCAGCCAGTAAATTCTGTTTAAGAGAAGGAACATGCATAACCCACTTTTGGCAGAAAATGACAGCAAGTGAAGGTAAATGTCTTGTCTTGCTCTAGGAAGTACATAAGCCATATTCACCTAAAGGAAAATAATAAACATGTAAACTTTTTCTCATGCAGTTGTAATATATACAAGCTTAGGTGACCAGGGAACATTTCAATAGGCCATCTTTTTTAAAACTTCCTGATTGGAGCCTCTTCTTGGACCAAATCTCCCTTTGCTGTTGGGGTGTCTACACTGGCTCTTTCAGTACTGATGGCATCCAGGCCTGCCAGATGATTGGTGGTCAACAAAACACATTTTGCAATATTAGTACCTTGTCTTAGCCTATTCAGGTTTCTATAACAGAATACCATAGACTGGGGGGTGGATAAATAGCAGCAGTTTATTCATCACAGTTCTGGAGGCTGGGGAGCCCAAGATCAAAGCTCTGGTAAATTCAATGTCTGGTGAAGGCCTGCTTCCTGATTCATAGATGGCTGTCT